TTACAAACAAAACTTTTACAAAATTTTACAAAAGAAACGGTTGAGAATGGAGACACTATGCATATATTGCACAAGTAAGATGCATATATATGCATACACTATGTTCTATACGAGAATAACTAATGGGAACAACAATTTGTATGGAACAGTGACATGTGGGGCCATATTGGCCAAACATCAAATTTCAGCTTGCACAAGCTGTCAATGAAGACAAAAAAAATAAAACATCAACAACAAAACTGACACGTAGTGTGGATGATCTTTATAAACTGTGTATATTTCCAGAATCCTCTGCCTTGGACTGAGATATGGGGCAAGTGAGGATTTCTCAACAGATGAGTTGATGGGCAAATAATCCTTTCAAGGTAGAAAGCTTACAGCCACTGCTTTAGAAAGGCACATTTTATATTCCTTTTAAAATAAAAGGAATGTAATTATTTTAGATGGTTGAACTCCTTTCTGATCAATTCATAATTGGCTAAGAATTTAGCTTTCTTGGAAAGAGTTCAGAGAGAGATTTTCTGTGCCCAAGTTCTATTCCGACCCATTATGATGTGGCACATTTTGGCCTTTATATGTAGGTGGTCTACATGAATATCAGTGGGGTGATACATGTATAGCTCTCAGGAAATGTAATTCTCAGCAACACCTGTGGCTGAAAGACACTGGGAAATAACATAACCTTTACTCAAACATCCAAGAGGACAGGATTTTAGATCTCACAGGAGGAAAGAAAGAATATAGAATGTCAGCAAGAAACAACCAGAAATACTGACTTCAGCCAGGAATCTACCTTAACCATTCCCCCAATACTGCTTCTTTGGATAATGTGGTCACATTGTGCATATCAGTTTGCCTTATTCTTTAATAGAGAGTTAAAGGACTAATATTAAATAACTATATATTAATTACTTTGGTAGTCTGCATAATTTCACAACAGATTAGGGGCCCATTGAGAGTAAAGGATTTAATGACCATTTATGAATGTAGATACAAAGCTCTGGCTTTGGATGCTTGATCTATGGACTGAGGGTCAGACCTGCTACAAAGGAGAAACTGGGGCCGATTCATAATACATCAGAGCATAAGGACAAAGACATCAGAGCTGGACAAACTCATGCAATCTGAACCAGGTAATTATAGTTATAAGCTTCAGCAACATCACTATTTTTAAGGTTCAGCAACGCAGAAAAATAAATAGAAAAGCTCTGTTAGCAGTCACACTTATAGTGCACTCCATAATGCCAAGGACTGAAAGAAAAATGAGTATACTCTGATCGAAAAAATATGGAAGACTAACAGTGCATAAAATTGCAGGTGAAGTGGACTCAGTATCACTATATACCATAATTCTTTTGTTCCAAAGCTCTACTTGAAGTAGGTGATTTTTAATGATGATATAAATTCAATTTTGCAAAGGGATAGAAATTTGTGAAATAGTTGCTAGATCACTAAACCTTATACAGGCCCAGGATGTACTTCTTTTCTAAGGAACATAGATTAGAGCCTAATTTTATGGACTCTGCTAGGTTCCTCTTCCTTCAAAATGGAAGATTTAAGTATGATATATGGGGATAGACTTTTATTCCTTCTTATTGTGATCTGTCCTCACTTTCATAGAAGGAAGTTGTACTACAGTAGATCCGATTGGAGAGAAACCTTTTAATTTGAATACAGTATGTCCAACCAACACACTTTTCTGGTCTACTGTGGGACAAATGTGAAATTGTGCTGTGTGCATCTAATAAGCAGTGCTATAGCAGACAGGGAAGAGGCAAGGCAGAATGGATGCCTTGTATGCAAATGGATCCAGGTTTAATATTGTAGGTAAGGCTGGGAAAGAATCCTACCTGCAAACATGGGGATTCACCTTATATTGAGCTAGAGGGATCAAAGAACTGACATGTTATATGGCTGCTTTCAAAGGACCACATGTAATGCCATACTTAGCAGATCACTGGACGAAAACAGGGCAGTGTTTCAGATACGCAATTTTCTTCTGGTGCCCAATGTTTTCCTACTGCTGTCTCTTGACCAGTCAAACTAAGCTGATTCCTAATGATTCCTAAGGACCAACCATTCCTAATTCCTAATGATCACTGATTCCTAATGACCGAACAAGGTAAGGTAATTTGAAAGGTACAGAGGGGAAAAAGTTGTAGGATTACAATCAGACAACTTTTAGAACTTAAAAGTTCTTACCATAAACTCACTGTAACATCTAGTTCACGCTTAGAATCAAGACAAAAGAAAATGCAGTACTGTGTGCCCGGCACATTTAATGGCTATGGGGAAATGCCTAGCACTGCAAAGTGCACACAAAGTAGTTGTAAAGTTTACAATGTTTTTTTTAAGGAAATCACTGGGTCCTCTTTGGCAAACCAGCCTGATAATTTTTCCTCCATGTCATGTTTTACTTACCTTTACCTTTATCTTTAAAAAAAACCTCAAAACTATTTTATAAATTAAAGTCACTCTGGGAATACAGGGGCCCATTATGTTTATTGTATGGTTGGCAAGGGCTCTGCATTTGTAGCTTAATAAATTCTTCTTTTGCTCCTGTGTCAGTACTTGTGTGCTAAAAGCACAAATGAAAAAACCAACAAAAATATTAGTTTTCATTTGTTTGTGAAGAGCAAGACAGTGTTCCGGGTAAATTAATCAAAATCTGAACTTTCTATTAGAAAAAAGAATTTATTGGCAAACAGGCCACTTGTTTGTCTATATGAATACATAAAATCAGAAAAACAAAGAAGGGATTATTATGAGAGAATGGCACCATGTGGATCTGCTTCAATATCTGCATTCCTTCGGGGAAAATTCATCTGCATGTAAACTCATTAAGCATCTCAAGCTGATATTTCAGATCTTGGAATCCAATTAGGTGTGCTAGCAACACCATACCATCTTGTGGAGCTGGATTGCCTCTTTATAATAAAAAGATATTGTAGAGTAGACAAGGAAGCAACAGTCCCAAATATCACTTCAAATTCTTCCACATTGAAAGCACAGGAAAGGTGAGTACACCTGTGTTTCTGTGCTACCTTGTTTGTTCCTGTGATTATGCATTATGACAGGTGAGGGGAATATGTGGGATTCCAAATTCCATTCATTCCAGACAACACAGCCAGAGGCTTAGGAATTACAGAGTTGGAATTCATTATAGCTCAGAGAAACAAAGGTTTTCCCTCCTTTTATTAAGCCTTTTTCTATTCATGTGCAACATCTATGGAAGTGTTTTGCTCAGTCAATACTCTTTGGGCCACCCTCTCTCCAGTTTTGCATGGGGTTACTATTTTTGAACAAAGTCTCCTTGTTCTGTTCTGGCGTTTTATCCACAACAGGCCTCAACCACTTTTGAGTGAAGTACAATGAAAACTACCCGCCTACCCATGAATGACTGCCATAATCTTTTGTATTTGGTTTCATGCCTAAGGTTGTAAAAATGTGGTGGAGTGGGAAAGTAGCAGCTAATGAAAGGTTCAATCTGGATTTGGCTCTCAGTCAGGTTTGCCCAACTTCTGGTCCACCATATTTCAAGCAGCCCAGCATCCGCAACTTTTTTACTTGCTACAAACATGACAAAAAATCCCACCTGCCTCCATCATATCAAAAGGCATTAGCTCTAGTTTTGTATTTCTGCTTGCCTCCTGTTATCTAGGAAGACTGAGGTGGTGCGCAGCTCTCCCAGGGCTAACATGGTCATAAATAGAATCTTTAGTAACCTCTACCATGGTGGTTCTAAAACTTGGGTCACAAGATGTTCTTGGACTGCAACTCCCAGAAATCCTAGCAGCACAATAATTGGCGAAGACTCGTGGGAATTGTAGTCCAAGAATATCTGGGGACTCCAGTTTGAGAACCATGGTGTCTAGCAGATCTGGCTGATTGAGATTCACCAAGATGCTTACATCAGATACATTTTAAAAAATGAATTTCCTTCTCAAGTAAATGTGCAGAACTAAACTGCATGCAAAATATGATCATTCTTGCTATAGGTTTCAAAATAATCAATGGGAGTTTGAAGAACTGCTATCTTTGCTGGCTATAATGCCACTGCAGACTTACCTCTGGTTATCCATTGTTATTTTTTACAGAACATCTTTTTCCATCTTCAGATTTAGCAGCAAAACTCTAAATGAGCAGGTGGGAAGTTGTCATTTACGAGCAGCCAATATGGAGACCTCAACAGCTGCACTAGTGAATGGCATAAGCAACACATGCACACTGATGTAGATTTATCACCATCATTATCGCCACGACTGTCACAGCCACCACCATCATTATTCTACTTTATATAGCAGATATGCTACTTTATATAGCAGGCATAGCTGCCAAGGGGTATTGTGGATCATATCTCCTTACTCATAAATGAAAAATTCACTTCTATCCACCTAGTTATGAATGAGAACATGGTCCATTGATCTGGAGAAATCAAATGATATTGTTCATTGTGCTGAATGCAGAACATCTTATTTGTCACACAAATAATGGACACTGGTGTACCTTAACCACAAAATTCATACAGTGGTGAGAGGGGCTTTACCTAATGAATTAACAGTAACAGCCTATGCTGTTAAAACTCCATGGAGCATCCAAGCAAGTAAGTCTACTGTAGGGAGAAATTGGAGGGAACATATATATGACCTCATAGAGGAAAACTTAGGCTTGACTTACGTAACTTCCTTATGAAGACAAGGATTTTTGATAAGGCTTAAATCACAGCTTGCTTTATGAAGACCTCTATACACTTAAGCATAATCTTCTTTTGTCAAGAACAGAGCATGAGACATATCATGGCAGGCAATTAATAAGTCATGTACAGCAGTACATATATCGTCTTGCTAACAAAATGGATAAAATATACATCGCTTATAAAACTAAGAACCAGAGGTCTCAACTAATTTTGAGGGCATTATCATATATATGGGGGGGGGGAAGGTGATGTTTAATACCTGTTGCCATTATTTCAACAACTAAAACGATGCTCAGAATCTTACCTTTCTGCCTCCAGTGTTTATGCGAAGAGGTGTGAGGAAGGGGTCGAATATCATATGACTAGTTTCTATATTGACCGGGGACTGCCGTTTTCCAACAGAGCAAAGATTCCAGGCTGAATTCACCAAGCCCCAAAAGGAAGGAACTATAAGAACAAAAATGAAAGAAGGCACAAGTAATTTAACAAGAATTTTTAAAAGAGAGAGTTAAGGTAGATGCAAGTAGAACTGGTACTGCATGCCAGACACACACTGAAATACTCAGCAAGGAAAGTGGAAGGGAGGACAAACAGAGAATCTGTTTTAAATGGGGAGTAATGTATCGACTCCACTGTTTGCTTGAACGAATGTTACAAGAATGCCCTTCTCTTGCTTTTTCTAGAGCTTCTCTAATGATCAATGAAAATGGTAGTTCAGAAAACAAAACAAGATCTCTGAGATGATTCCATGCAATTTTATGTAATATGATTTTTCTAAAGGTGAAGGTACTGTTACGTACTACCACTGCTTTTAAGAAATGTTCAACCAATATATAAATAAGACACACGCACACACCCCAAAAATACTTAATGTTGTTCTCTAGTTATAGAGAAAGGCAAGTTCTCTAGGTATGGAGAAAGGGATGTGCCTGAGTTCATGATGGGTTTTGTGCAGGAGTCCATGACTGAGTCACCATGCATTCTGAAAAAACCCTCTGAATGACAGTACAGTGGACCCTCTACTTACGGAATTAATCCATATTGGAATGGTGGCTGCAGGTCGAAAAGTCTATAGGTCGAGACTCCATTGACCTACAATGCATGGTTTTTTTCTAGTCTGTAGGTCGATTCTCTGGCTGCAAGTCGAACCTAAATTTTGCGGCCAGAGAAGTCTGTAACTCGAAAAGTCTGAAAGTCGAGCCATCTGTAAGTCGAGGGTCCACTGTAGCTAGTGCAATTGGTTCTGATAAGTAACAACAGGCATTGTGGAAAGAGACCCACTTCAGGACAGCCATTCAGTGTTAGCAATGGGGGGGGGGGCTGGAATACTGATAAATATGCTTGTCATTATTGTCACTTCATCTGGGAGGACAGTATCATACATTTTGACTGAACCATTCCAATTAGCTCACAACATGCCAGAACCATGTATCAGAAACATAAACAGTCAGTTCTAGTTGAAAAGGAAAAGGCATATCTTGTCTTTCCAACAGGGAGCTTGTTGTTAGATAATCCAGTGGGTGATGGCAGAAGAGTCCACCTCAACAGAAGCACGTGTCTAGTGCTGCCTTTGCCCACAACATCCACTCAGATGGATTTTCCCCCCAATCATGACAATTTGTGTAAGGGCCAATCCAGCTTTAATAATAAATGTAGGTTTATTTTTGACAAACTGCTTCTATGGGGCCTAGTGCAGCTGTTAAGACTTCGTTACTTCACTGCAGTCCCAATCTGGGCCGAGGGATGCAATCTGCTCTGTCAAAAACAATTCAATTTGCTTTGGGGACAAGATTCAAGTTTGAAGGCTCAGGTAAACCAATCTGGATTGGGGTGATGGCAGAGAATGCATCCCACATCAGAGTCCCAGCATTGCTCAGTAGCCCCTGTGCTCATAATATGTATGTGGGGAAAACACATTCAGTTATTTTATTAGAGCTTGTATTGCCCCCTACATAGTCCTGTGGTGTGGAAAGGATAGTCTAGCTGATTCCTATAAGTTATATTGTCTGGAACTACATTCACCCAAAAGTGGTGAACACACAATATCTGGTTTTCAAGCTTCTTTATGAAATGGACATGCATAACAAGTAAGTGACAAGCTGCACATGCTAAAGTTACCTATAACATGTCTTCTGGAATTAACATGGTGGAATTGATATTTCAAAAATAGGAATGAAGTTGCTCACTGTCTCCCTTGGTGAATGTTCAATTTGACTACATAGCTTGGAAAGTTATGTCTTTATGCTCCAAGTCTTAGAATCTTCCAGCCAGCACTGCCTGTAGATAGGCTGGCTAGGGGATCCTAGGAATTGTAGTCCAAAAGAGCATGTTTTCTGAGCTCTGACCTGTAGCTTGTCTTTCATGTGTGTGATGAGATTTATGATTACAGGATGGATCTGAATTTCTATTTTGGCCATAAAAAACACAGAGAGTTGAGCAAGAGTTGTTAAGGGAGCCACAAGTATTTTAGAATACTTTGTTGGAATCCTGGCAGTATCACGCCTCAAGAACTGGAAATTGCACAAGCCATGTGAGCTATCTTGCTGTCTGTCTGCTGCAGGTCTGGAAATTTCTCATGTTGCATAAATGGCTGTGCACCTAGTTGCACTCCCTTGTGTCTGCAAAAACTGCTTCTGTGATCATCCTTGTGTGTGCGGCATTTCATAGAATGATTTTGCCCATGATGTCAAACTAGTCTGAGATATTAACCAGCACCTTGTTGTCTCCATGCCCCATAAGCAGGCAATCACCCATGTGGCCCTTAGCTTCCTCTGGTCTGGGAAACAATTGCACGTTCACTCACATGTTCAGTCATGAAGAATAGCAAGCTAGAAAGGCAATACCGACATGTGGTTGCCCTTTTGCCACTGGCTTTGCCTGATAGGATTTTGGACATCTTACACAACAATAAATTCATTGGGGGACTTCGAGGGAAAAAACTGGTTGGAAGGGGCATTTTGCTGAAACTCAAAACAGAAATAAGTGGTCTTCTCTGAAACACATCTCCCATGGATAAATTCATTTGCTCACTTCTTCTAACACCTGAAAATTTAATTTCCAGCTTCACTTCTTTTCCCTTGTGTAGACACGCTGAGTCTTCTCACTCTCTGTCACTCCCTCTAATGACAGAAGCAGCAGGTGAGCAAAGAAATTGTCACTCTGCTTGCTGAAGCAGCAGAGGCATTGCAAAGTTGGATATGTGTCACCTGTACCAAATATCAGTTTCTGGTTTAAGGAGTATCATAATCTCAAGGAAAAAGTTATGGGTGTTGGGTGCTAATAGTGGCCATTGCAATCTCAACGCTTCCTTCTCTTCAAATACATTTAAAAGGGTACAGAAACTCATCCAAAAACCTCTATTTTATTATTACAGTTCAGGTTCGGTCTACATCCATTTTCATCACTTCCAGTTGAACTGTTTTTTTTTCCAGCCATCTTTCTAGTTTTATTGTTTGTTACCGTTTCTAATTCTGTTAATGCTAGCATGTGTTTTTTGAAGTCAGTGGGAAATTTCCAGTTTGTGTACATACAACTACAGTTTAAACAACTAAGGTGGGCAAAGTGCTACCTCCCAGATGTCTTTGCACTACAGCACCTAGCAGTCCTGGACAGCACAACCAGTTGCAAGGAGTGCTGGAGATGCACTCCAACACCATAGTTTTGCCCATCCCTGTCCTGTGCCCACCTCCACAAAACGATGTGCCCACCTCCACACTCCTATGTCATACTCAGAGGTTTTCAATACATAGGTGACCGAAACAGGATCTTAGCCGTTCTGTAGTGCTAATGCAGGATATGTGACAGCAAAGGGGCAAATGAAAAAGTCACACCTGAAAGGCCTTCCCTGCTACAAAACACAGGAGGAAATGTATTTGATAGTAAGATTAGAGAATATGAAATTTAAATTTTGTTCCGTTCACAAACACCCCAGTCACTATCTGATCATTGTTAATATGAAAATAGAAGGTGAAGAGGGAAAGGATCTTTCAAGAAAGCCGACACTGGAACAGCATATTTAATTTGTATGGCTTGGTCCTTTCAAAATCTGCACCATTTATGTGCTGGCTGCTTGCACTCTATATTCTTCACTAGACATTTTAATATGACCTTTTATAAAAGTAACTTCCTACGACATCATCATATGCATGGTAAGCAGTAGAAGCATCCAGGGTGTGGGCACTCCCTCTACTGTATAGCAGGTCACCCACTAATGTTGGATGATTCCTGCACTAGCTAGTTGGCTACTATACAGCAGTAGAGAGAGTCTGTTCACATCTGGAAGAAACATACTACAGAGAACTTGGCTGGACAAGATGTATGAAGGTTACTACAAAGCTTCCAGTTAGAGCTGACAGTGCTAGGTTAAATAGACGGATGTATGTATCTGATTCAGGATAAGGCAGCTTCCTCTGGCCAGGGCCATTTCCCTACATCTTAGACTTCTCTCCCTGTAAAGCTGAGGGCAGCAGGGGTGGCAGAGAAGACTTCAAGCTCAGAAGTTATAGTAAGTATCATGGGGTATCCAGAAAATGATGGCACAAGAGGGATTCCATTTCTGATGCCCTTGAATCATTTGCTAGATTTTTTTTTTAAATTTCCTTGAGCAGAGACAAACTGATAAGATAACCAGAATATAAGTCAGGACTATCTATTTCGAAATAAACGGGAATTCAAACCTTAGTTTCACAAAGTCATTGACAACACACTAACCACTGTCCCTCATGGGATAAAGTAAGAGTGGACAATACACAGCTCACAAACCACATGTGTTCCTTCTTGCTTGCCCCCTCCCAATGTTAGAGGCCCCGATCTCTGAAGTACAAAACCGAAAAAGACTGAAAGAGATTAATGTTGCAATAAGGCACATGGGAAGTTTATGTCTTCATTTAAAGGAGAATTTCTGTCTCAGAAGTGTACAGGAAGTGTGCATCTTCTTTAGAACAAGGCACAGACTCTCCATGAACCGTGCTTTAAGAACATTTTTGTTACCAGGTTTCGGAATAGTGCTGTGTTGTTGTTGTTGTTGTTTTCTATTTTGGCCAATGAATTTTAGCAAAGCACTGTGGTGGCAGGGGTCAGGTGCAGATTCTGTGAGGGAAAGAATGATTTGACAAGCACTTCTCATTTAAACAAAGAGCAACTGCAAAGCTCAACCAAAAATCTAATCTGTTTTCACATAAGTACTTTCATACATGTATTACTTAGCAGGGTGAGAGCAGTGTGTGTGTACTTGCTAAATGACCACAACTGACCTATTGGCTGAAATCTTGTTGCTTAGTATAGTAAGATGCAACCAAAGTAAGCCAATGGAATCAGTGGGAATTTGGTGAATCAACTCTTTAAATTCAATTGATTCAACTGGGCTATTCCAGTTATGACTGACTATATTAAACATCAGTTTTTCAGCCACTGCTCATTTTTGGAGAAATAGAATTGTGCAATTGGTC